GAACGCCCACGGAGGCCCTGGGAAAAAGCCGAGTCGCATCCTGAATCTCCAGGACCTCAGGACTGACTGGGGCGGGGGGTGGGGTGGGGGGCGGTCAGTCCATAGTTTTACAGGATTCGTAGGGAAGTGCTCAGCCCACGCCAGAACACACACGCTGATCATCCACTTAAAAATGCATGGACCAAGAGGGCTGTTTAAAACACTGCCATTTAGCCAACCCAGTGTGGCTCAGGGATTGAGCATCAACTCAGGCACCAAGAGGTCACCCATTCCATTCCTGGTCAGGACACATGGCCCAGTTTCAGGCTCGATCCCCAGTAGGGGGCGTGCAGGAGGCAGTCGATGGGTGTTCCGCTTTCATCCAGGTTTCTGTTTCTCTCTCCCTTTCCTCTCAACTGTCCTCTCTCTAAAAAAAAAATCACTAAAAAAAACCCCATATTTTTAAAAACTACCACTCTGGCTCATGTTTATTTATGAGTAAAGTCTCTCTCCATGAACTCTCCCCATGAATGCATTGCCTAAAAGAAATAAACAATGGACTTAGCGTTGTAAGTTTCCCTTCCCTGGTCGCTGTGGTCTCTGCATGGTTCTGCTAACACTGTGTGCTTCTACTGAAGGCCTGTCGGTGGCTCAGAACCTCCGGGCTAAAATCAGCCATCGGAGCCTCATTAAACCCCTGATGCTTGTTCTTCCCCCCAGGGGGAAACTGTGCCTTTTTTCATTCCTTTTTGCTCTGTTTCGCATTCCCAGCAGGGAGTAGATGCTGATCCCAGTTTCTATTTTAACTCAACCTCAGCATCTTCCAAAATTTACATCAACGAACGTTCTGATCTATAGAAGACCAGATTCTTCCACCAGGAGGGACAGGTCTCAGCTGACAGTAGCCCCCAGGGGACCAGGCCGCCGGTGGGCTTGGGTCACTTACAGTCCCCAAGGTCGAGTCCGAAATGGTGCCTCCCCTCGCTCCCGCGTGAATTCCCCCTTCAGGCTACCTCCCCGCGCTGGCCCTGGGTACCGCCTCCTGCTCCCTGGGACAGCACATGGGGGTGCCTCTTTGTCATCTTGTTTTAGCCAAGTCCCCAGGTGTTTGCCCAGATAGAACACATCTGGAATCCATCAGGGTGGTGCGGGGGCGTCACATGTCAGCTGGCTGACCCATGAGGTCGGCCCACCCACGGGAGCCACAAAGCCTGACAGGAAACAGCGGCTCCCCAATCACATCGAAGATTCTTCCCAGAGGAATAAGGGACAGAGGGTTGCCGACAACACAGGTGATGTCACCTGCTCCCTACTCGGCTACTCAAGCAGCACCTTGGATTTCTCTGTTGCAATTATTCTTTTAAGTATGTTTATATTGATTTTTCTTAGTGAGAGAGGAAGGGTGAGGGAGAGAGAGAGAAACATCAATGTGAGAGAGAAGTATGGATCAGCTGCCTCCTGCACACCTCCCCTCCCCCCCCACACACACACATACTGGAGACTGAGCCTGCAGTCCGGGCACGTGCCCCGACTGGGAATCGAACCTGCGACCTCCATGCACATGGGACGACACCCAAGGAACCGACGCACATGGCCAGGGCTCTCCGTTTCCTCCTGGCTTCTGTGTTGAGGCTGCAAGATGAAGAGGGAAGGGACCAAGGCCCCGCGTGTTGCAGGTGAACATCTAGCTCTGTACCCGGCACGTCCGAGGTACTGACACTCACCTGCTGAACAGAGGAGACTGCTCTCTCTAATTTATTTAACAAACGTGTACAGCCCCTCTGCTAGGTGATGGAGACACGGCAGAATCCCACAGGAGGAAATTCCTGTCCTCATGGAGTTTACATTCAAATGGGCCTCGTTCAAAACTTTTCAATATCACCACAGTCCCATCTCTAAAACCATCGCCTCATAACCCAGGGCAGTGGCGTAGGACAAACGGGACCCGTTCTTCCTCAGAAGAAATGGTATGACTGATTTTGTTCTCGTTGATGAGAATCCAGCTGAGACCAACAACACTGAGACTCATTCATTCATTCACTCATTCATTCAACAAGTGTCCACCGAATTCCGGCCCTGTGCCGGGAAGCATGCCCGTCCTGGACGTATAGTCCAGCGAGGAAGAAACATAGTGTGTTCATTCCTGTGGCTTCTGTAAAAATGACCACAACGCGGTGGCTTAAAACAACACACGTGTGTTTTCTCACAGTTTAATTGGTCTGAATCCAAAAGGGGTTTCCCAGGTGGAAACCACCACCAGGTGCAGGGCGGGTGCACCTGCTCCCCTGCCTGGTCCACCGTCTAGCTTCTGCCCCCCTACTCCCAGCTCAGGGTCCCTTCCTCACATGAGGGTCAGCAGCCCGACCTTTCCATGCCCCTCTCTGCCCTGGATTCACACGGCCTCTGCCGGCCTCTATCCGCCTCCCTCTGTGGAGTTCCCAGCCAGAAATCCCGGGCAACCTACCCAGCCCATGGTCTCTAGCTTCATCCCCTCCGTCTACTCCATGTGGCCGTTTAAGGTAAAATCCACAGGTCCCAGAGTTTCGCAGCTGGCTATTTTGGGGGGCAATGACAGCCTATCACACACACTCATGAACTAATTAAAAAGTCTGTTATTAACAATAATGCTTCTTAATGAAATGGGCCTTGGTTTTCTTCTAATATTCTAAAAATACCAAAATAAAATAATAAGATTTTTAAAGACTGATCATTTGAAAAAATGCCCCAGAATCATATGCCTGGATGATTAGGATTCTGAGGAAAGGCTCAAAGGCCAGTGTCTATAGTAAAAGTGCTAGAGAAGTTGTACATTCATTTTAAAAAATAAAACAGGAGACGCGGTCGGGGGTGAAATTTTAAGTGGTAAATTAGAGTGTGGGCAGATTGAAAATGTCAACATTTTGAAGATTAGAGTCAGGAAAATAGGAAGGGAAAAGCACAATAGTGAAAGACTTGGCTTTTCAGAATGAATAAAAAGCACGTTTGGGGACATCAAAGATATACATTCGCATAGAAATAGCACTTTGTCATTGGACAATATAATTAATGTAATTTTATAAACTAACATAGTGACTGCAAGTAGGGAGCCAGCCTGGAAATCTCTAAATCAACAACAGATGTAAAGGGATTTGCTTTGCATAAGTCGCCGGTGTCCTCACCTCTGGGCAGCATGCAGCTAGGAAGATCTTATTCAAACAGCTGTGGCTTTAAAAAAGGGCCCGACCTGTACGCTCACCGGGAAATTATACACCAAGGATAGACGATTATTTTTTCCCTTTAGAATGTGTGTTGAATCACATTCGGTTTGAATAAATAAAAATTAACAAAAGAACTGGAGAATGTCTCAGATCTGATATGTGTTCTGAGAAGAGTAGTATATTTTAATTAAACACAAAAGGTCTTTTAGAGATACTACGCTGATTCAATATACATAGTTAAAGGGCACCATGCTAAATTTTTACAGACGCTGAAGCTGGAGTGTAGGAATAGAATTCTTATTCACACGTGGACAATTGGTGACTCTCTCCTTTTAAATCTATTAACAAAAAAAGGGCCATTATTCTTTGACTTCGATTCTTGGTTGCAGCATTGGAAGTGACATAATAACTTTGGATAAATATGACTGTAGCCCTTCTGGCCACTGGGTTCTCAGTGGTAGAAAATACCTTTATTTATAAGGTTTTCTGATTCCAATGATTAACTTCTGCATATTTTAGCATTTTCATAGCTTGTAAGATCAGTATATCTTTCCATTTCTTGGAAATGCTGTTAAATAGATGGCTCTTACAATTACTGTGTTCCTGGCCTGTGGGTGATTGTTTGCTGCTGGGTTTCTCCCCAAATATTACTGTCCTGTTATGAATACATACATGGTAATCAACAGGGCCCAGGGCCCAGCCGGTCTGATAGGAGGAGGGCTGTTCTGACATTCAGAGGACCCAGTCCATGTCCACGCTCCGTGACAACTCACACAGGTAAGACAACTGAAAAGAGAAGGCTATGATCGGCACAGACTGGGGCTGGCTATTGACCAAGGCCGACACTGTCACTCCCTGGACTATCCCCAGGCCCCCTCCGCAGTGTAACTTTGCAGTTTCCGCCAAGGGATGGGACCTACTTCCCTATCCGTGAAGCCGGACTGGCCCTGTGACTTTCACTGGAAGAAGACACTGTCTCAGCTATAAGGCTAGACAGCAGGAGACCTTGCCCATGACTGATTTCTGTCGGAACCCCGAGCATGCGTCGTGTGAAAGAGCGCAGACTCACAGAGGCTGGGGACGCTGGGACCAGGGCGGTGGCGGCACAGGTGTCTCAGCTGAGAATGTCCTAGACCAGCCAGGCCCCGGATGACCCAGTCGCTGACCGCAGGTGCAATGCACCCCAGCAAAACCAAAGGCAGAGCCCAGGGAAGCCCATTTTAAATCGTCACTTTACAGACTTGTAAACTAAATGCATGGTTATTTGTTCTTTTTATCCATGCAGATTTGGGGTGATTTGTTACAAAGCAAAAGCTAACTGATACACAGACGTTGTTATATTTAGCTTGGACAAATCAATGTATCATTGAAATGGAAAGAAAAATTTCAAGAGTTAATTTAGTTCTGATATAACATTCTATGTCACGTTTTCCCCTGTGTAATATACCTTTTTTTTTGCCACACCAAATTCTAAATATATATGTCCATTTTAACTTCTGAAAGAATTCAGTATAAAGGAAAAAAAAAAGGAGCTAGTCTTCCTTGCTTATTGCTGACAAAATTATTTAATCCTATTCTTTTCTATAAAAATTTAATATTTGACCATTTATAATTAAAACAATCTTAGTTCTGTTTAAAAAATAGCACTTAATACATTATCAAAGGATTAAACTCCCTGGATTAGCCACAGAGATTCACTTCACAGTTTCATCACTTAGCCATTCAAATAATGTATTACACATTTGAAAACTGTGTCACTTGTAGAAAAAAAAATGAAACGCCAATAGATTATCAATCAAAGCTTATAACAATAGAACACGTTACCTGCGCAAGCAGTGATGAGTGGCAGCAGAATTACCAGTTTCCATAGCAACCTCATTTCCACTTTCTGAAGGCAAAGTTTCCCATAAACTCAGCAGGAAAGAAGGTCTGCTTTCCAGTCAGAATCTCCAGAGTCTGGAAGAAACAAAACTGTCATGAAATGACAAACATACCAGCATGCATATCTTAAAATATACATTAATTGTTGCATTTTTAGGTAACATTAAAATGTCATTACCCAAAATAAAGCAACTAAAGTTCTATGTTTTACATATGTGTATATTTGGCAAAGTATCATAATTTTGGTTCACACCTCAGATAAACATTTCATTTGCCATCAAATTTGCTGTAGCAGTTAATGAATTGGAATGAAGTTATATTTATATTGAATGTATTCCATGTGGATTAAAACTTTTGTTAGTATAATTTTAAGTCTAGTGTTTTGGAAATGTTAAAGAAAATTAAAAACATAATCAAGCAACTACTGCAATTCTGTTTTTTATTTTTATTTTTGATTTTACACCATTAGAAATGAGATAAAATATTGCATATATATATATATATATATATACACACACACACACACACACACACATATATATATACAGTGATTTTATACATTTCTTGGGTTTTTTAATATTTCTATCAACATAAATGAAAACAACATCAATAGTGTTTTTATCAATGTTGTTGAGAATGTGTTTATTAGAAAACAGTAAACCTATTAACCAATGTCACCCCAATAAATTTAATAAAAATAAAATAAAAATATCCCTTTAATTTATGAAAAATAAAGAAATCATCACTTTTCCTAATATATAATTCATTATACTAGAGCATTATGTAATACTAGTGCCCTGGTGCACGGATTCATGCACATTGAAAGGATATTAATTAGAAGGTGACTGGTGGGTTGGACTGGGTGAGACGGGCCGGAAATGCTCTGGAGCCAACCTCCCACAGTCCCTCCCCGGCCGGCCACACCTGGGGCAGTGCTACTGCTCAAAGGGTGTCTGCAGAGTGAGCGGGGTCCCTCCAGCAGGTGGGGTCCCTCGGCCTGGCCTGCGGGGATCAGGCCAAAACCGGCTCTCTGATATCCCCTGAGGGGTCCTGGATTGAGAGAGGGCAGTTCTCGGGTGATGTACCCTGGAATCGGGCTCCCTACTCTCTAGTTCCAGGGTGCGTCACCCAAGAACCACCGCTGCCAAGTCACTGCAGTTCGGCAGCTCCTGCATTGAGTGTCTGCCCCCTGGTAGTCGTTGTGCATCATAGCTACTGGTCGGATGGTAGGATGGTTGCTTAGCCTTTTATATATATAGACATCACAGATATATAATATGCTCATTAGGAAACATTATTTTGCTTAATGTCACTAGAAGTAAAATTAATATAGTGCAGGACATCAATTTCTGGAAGTGTGATATTTCAAATATGGACATATTTTCCTATGGGAATACGTCCTAATTTCCTCTAATTCATTTTGACATTTATACTTTCCAATGATAAATGAACTCCAAATAAAGTGTTTGCTTGGCCTTTACTTCCAAAGACAAATCTAGTAGGAGACTCATGGAACTCATAATCTCAAAAAATTACAGAATAAACTCAGCTAGGTCACATTTGATAAAATTATTATATAGCAAACAATAGAACCCTTTGGTAACTTTTAACTTAGTGGAAATATTGTCCTGTGACTTCAAATGCTTTTGGAAGTATGTGGACTTTAATTGTAAAAGTAGTAAAGTAATAATATTTTAATCATTTCCTGATATATTTTTAAATTTTAATAACCTTTCATTTCTTTCTGGTACTAATTACTCCAACTTAAACTGAAAAACAATGACCCTATTCAAATTTAAATTTTTGTAGTGTCTAAGTTTAATGCTTTCAGATTTAAACAAGGAATAAAAATCAAAGGCCAAATAAACAATATTTAGGTCAATCTGTTATATTGAATTGATATCATCCGTTCACAAATTCTCTCATATCTTACATCACCTTTCCATTTCATTTGACACCAAACATTTTAACTTCGTACATTTAAATGAAATAACATTCCATATAGTAATTCATTTATAATTTTTTCAATAAATATTTATGTATATATCTATGTATGTGTTTATATCCATTCTTGCTATTTTATGAGAGACAAGGACATTTAACAAAACAGCAAAACCAATCACACACACACACACACACACACACACACATTGCTAAATAGTTATATGAGGTAAATATATGGTATATGGTTATGCATTGAAGAAAAAAATGAGGCATGGAAGTAGCAGTCTCTGAAAAAAGGCCCTCCTAGGAGAATGGAAGGGTTTGACCTAGAGATGACCTTGCCATTCCTCCCAGCTCTAATAGTCTCCGATTGCTTGATTCACCCCAGTGTATAGGTGGATAGCAAATATCGCCCTTGACCATCTGATTGCTTCTCAGCGTCCATCATGAGGGCAAAGCCCAGGAGACGAGCCTCATGGCGACGCTCTGTAGAGAGAGCCCAAGTAGCTCATATCTATGTTTCCGTCACCATCTGTAAAAGTTCCATTTTTTAGAAGTTTAAATCGCCCAGGAAGAACACTCTGGTTCCATGAGAACAAAACAGATCAGAAGAGGCTGGTTATGTCCTCCCAGCAAAATGGGGTGGAGGTGGTCAGCAGGTACAATGGATGCTGGTCACTGACTCGCAAAACAACCACAGGAATTCTTTCCCTCGGACCCTAAGGACAGGTCCAGGCAAAACAGAGGAGGCCAGTCAGGAAACTTAAAAGGACTTCGCGACACCCTCAAAGAGGTCTACGGGTCATGTGATCTTCCCAGATCATTCTGGCCCCTAGAAGTGGGTGTCCACATTTTGGTTAAGTTCAACAGCTAAGGTCATTGTTCTGTTTTACTGGACAGACTTTGTCCCCTTTAGACCATGCGTTTTCCTCTTTCTTTCATGGAATGTCTTCATGCAAACATAACCATCTCACACACTTCAGCAAAAGAATATCTATCGCCCTGGCCAGTTTGGCTTAGTGGACAGTGTCGGCCTGCAAGCTGAAGGGTCCTGGGTGTGATTCCAGTCAAGGGCAGGTACCGGGGTTCCAGGCTCGATGCCCCAACCTGGTCGGGATGCCCCACCAATGGATGTGTCTCTCTCAGGTCTATGTTTCTCTCTCTGTCTCTCCCCATCCCTTCCACTCTCTCTGAAAATCACTGGAAAAATATCCTCGGGTGAGGATTAACAACAACAACAACAACAAAGGATATGCATCACTTCAAAATCTCTTTCTGGCAGTTCCAATATATATATATATTTTAAAGTCTCTGAAATATGTAAGACCTTTATAAGTTGGGTGACAAAACTCATTTTGTGGTAAAACCGCCCTAAACTAATGTGATGGTCTTGGGTCCATTTCATTCAACTTAGTATGAATATTTCTGTTTTTCTGCTGAACTGAAAATGTTGGCTCACAATAGAGCCTTCACCCACTGAAGGAGTCGTCTGAATTCAACCAGAGTGTCCCACGTTGCTAAAGGCTAAGATAGGGATCCGCAAACCAGACCTGAGCAGATCTGGTCCTCCACCGGTTCTGTCAATAGAGATTCACGGGAACCCAATCCGATCTGTATTTGTGAACCGCCAATGGACGCGTTTGTGCTGGAAAGGCCAAGTGAACACAGTACGCCCTGGACACTGAAGGTATTTCCTCTCTGCCCCGAAGAGATGGAGAGCTCCCGGGAGGTCTGATGCGTCCTAAAGTCTCCCGCACACCTGGCCGTGAGGACCTCGGTGAAGGATGCTGGGACTGCGTTCCTCTAACCCCGGTATGGGCACTCAGCAAAATACCAGGGGTCCATCAGAAAACGGTCCCCGTTCTGGAGTCCCCCAGCCTGGGAGTGTCCTGCCTAAAATGACCTCTCCTCACGTTGCAGCCTCAGCCAGCCTCTGGCCCCAGAGGCCTGTGAGAGGATTCAGAGACGGTTCCCTGACTGACAGGTCATAGCCAACCCCAGTTCTTCTCAACCCAGACAACACTAACACTTTCTTTGGATCAGAAAAAGCACTTTTTTAGGCCTGGAAAGCCATCGCTCCAGTTACCCCTGGCCATAGGACCCCTCGGTGTGCACATGTGGTGCAGTGGCCAGGGAGCCAGCGGGAATGAGGGAGGGCCCGCGTTGGCTAGATAGACCTCAGGCGGCAGGGGGACTCCGGGAGGGGTTGCCATGATCCCTGTGGTCTGTCCAGCAGCCATGGGGCACGTGGGAGGGACCAGAAGAGAGAGGGCATCTCTGATTATTTTCTTTTATAGGAGAGTTTTCCCATCCTCTTGGCATGGGGAACGTGGGGCCGGTGGGCGGCATGGGTGGCTCTGAATCCAACCTTGGAAAGGAGCACGAGTCCTCGCAGGTGCTCACCAGCCACATCTCCACGGTGAATGCGAGGGAGACCAAGCCCTGCACACTGAGTGACGGGGGCCAGGGACGCTGTTCGTACCCGAGTCGCTCCACCTGAGGCCCTCACCGTCCGCAGGTGTGTGCATGTGACAGCAGTGTGGCGATGGAGGGCTACGCTCATTCACACATGTAACTCCTGGTGGGACCCCCCAGCACACTCCAAACCACACCTTCTGCTCTCTGAAAGGATGGTCTCACCTTGGATGTGGGAAAAAGAAACGGCACGAAATGGCTTTGGTGCTACAGAGCGAGAGAAGGGCCGCCGGAGGGAGAGTACGTAAGAGGCCGGCCATTCCTCGCCCTCCTGTCTTGCTTGTGCTGCGTTGGCACAAGAGGAAACCACGCTGCAGGCGCGTCACCCGTGACGGCCTTCCTTCTTCCTCTACTCGGAGCCCCTTCGGTCGGACGTGGAAGAATTTCATCGCGGGATCCAGACCTGTTCTCCGAAGGCGCGTTCATCGTCAGAACAAATGTGCTCAGTACTAATGGCCCTTTTAGTTTTAATTGACCAGTTAATTAACTACATCAGATAAATTAAAAATCCCAAATCCATTTTCTCCAGGTAGCCCCACTGTTCCATACCCATCAGATAAAAACAACACAAAACAAAAACAACCCAGGGCCAGACAGAGCAGGAGACTCATCATAATTTTTACAACAGATTCCCCACCTCAGCATTCACGGAGTTA